AAAAAAAAAAAAAAGTAAGGTGAAAATAAAATCACAGTGAAATACAAATAAAAAAAAAGTAGTTTATAGAGAGAGAAGTTTTTGAACGTATTGCTCTTCACATTTTTTTTTTTTTTACTTTTTTTCGTTTTCTTCTTCTCACTTCGCATGCTACTCACTCTGTGGGGTACATACTGAGAAAACGAAAGAGAGATAAACGCATAAATTATATATATATATAGAGAGAGAGAGAGAGAGAGAAAGGGAGAGAAAAGGGATATTTTTCATTACAAACATTAATCATCATCACTAATAATATTCTTATGCGAAAAACGTTTGTACGTCTCAGTGGCGGATTTCAACCCCCGCGAACATTAGGGGTGAAACGCCATTCTTCACAAGAACCAACATCTCTCTCAAATCCTCCAGTTAATAATACTAATAGTAATACTACTACTACTACTTCCTCCTCTTCTTCAGTGGATGATGTGAGAAAGAACAAACGTACATGTTTAGAACTCTCACCTTCGCATAAACAAGAGATAGCGACAGTGTCGAGATCAGAACATACCCCATCACCTCCACCATCTAGAGAAGTATTGTCATCCAGTAGTAAAGAAGAAATAAAAAATTCAGGAGATGTTCATAAACCTCATGAATGCAATTATCCATTAAATTACCAAACACCTGATCGACGTACAATACAAGCAGTCGTGGCGGAAGAAGAAGAAAAAATTGTTGAAAGTCAAGAGATGCTGCAGCGGGAAATGGAGGAGGATCTTCGACTCTCTGCAGATCTCGCCTTTACACCTCGAGATGGAGGAAAACTATCAGGAACACGTGTTTTCTCACAACCAGGAGTAGAAGAAGGTACTGGATATAATGAAAAGGGAGAAGAAGAAGAAGATAGAACGAATACCACTTTGTTTATTTTTCCTAATCTTGAGGGAGATGAAGATAGTAATGGTATTATACCATTTGAAGAAGAGGGAGAAGAAGAAAAAGATGAAAACAATACAGCTATGGTATACTCTCATAATAATCCTAGTTCTGTTATTCCTAGTAGGAGTAATACTATTACCACTAATACTATTAATACTACTATTAATACAGCTGCCATTAACACTTCTACTAGTGCAGTAATAAAGGGAACCTCCACGAATAATAATAATAATAATAATAATAATAATAATAATAATAATAATAATAATAATAATAGTGTTAGTGTTCGTAGTAGTAATAGTAGTAGTAGTAGTGGTGGATTTTATGATCTTCCTTATGCTGCACAGAGTTTCTTTAATAATCGACGTGGTATTAAAAAACTTTATCCTTGGCAACACGAAGTTCTCATGAGAGATGATATTCGTAGTGGAGAAAGTTTAGTATACAGTCTTCCAACTAGTGGAGGGAAAACACTAGTAGCGGAAATATCACTTTTACGATGTCTTCTTAATCGTAAAAAGTCATGTTTTTTCGTTCTCCCTTTTGTATCTTTGGCAGAAGAGAAAACAGAAGGACTTCGACTTCTTGGGGATACTTTGGGTTTTGCTGTAGATGGTCACTATGGAACTCAAGGTAGACTTCCTCTTTCTAAACGCACAACGGTATATGTTTGTACTATTGAAAAGGCTAATTCTTTACTTAATCATATGCTTGAAGAAGGATTAACAGAAGAACTTGGTTGTATTGTAGTGGATGAATTACATATGCTTGGTGAATCCCGTCGTGGGGCAACACTTGAACTATTTTTATCAAAGGTACTTTGTCTTTCTCATTCTGTTCAGATTATTGGAATGAGTGCTACTATTCCTAATTTACCAAATATAGCTAAATGGCTAAATGCTAGTTGTTATTTAGGGGAATATAGACCTGTACCATTACGACAATACGCGGTTATGCAAGGTATGGTAGTAGAAGATGGTGAAAGAAATGAGAGAAATTTGTTAGAAGCTGGATATTCTACAGAATTAGAACAATTAGTATTTCTTGCAACAGAAGTGACAGATGCATCTGTACTTATTTTCTGTGCAAGTCGTCAACAATGTATTGATACAGCTCATCTTATTGCACGATATAGAAAAGAAGCTATGAATGGATATCCAGGTGCAAATGAAAGTTTTGTTAGTGCTATTGTATCTGAACTTAATTCTCTTAGTCATGATACTTCACTACTAACACATGTTATTCCATTCGGTATAGCCTTTCATCATGGTGGACTTCTTTCAGAAGAACGTGAACTCATTGAACGAGCATATCGTCAACGTTATATTAATATTCTTTGTTGTACATCTACTTTAGCAGCTGGAGTAAATCTTCCAGCTAGACGTGTTATTTTTAAAACTCCTTATGTGGGTCGTGATTTCTTAACAAAATCTCGTTATTTACAAATGTGTGGACGTGCTGGAAGAGCTGGTTTAGATGAATTTGGTGAGTCATTTCTATTATTAGCACGTAAAGATTGTAAACGTGGACGTGAGTTAATGAAGGAAGATGTGGAACCATGCTCTAGTAAAATGTTAGAGGACGCAAGTTCTTTTGAACGGTCTATATTGGAGTGTATTGCTGTTGGGATTATACGTTCTCCATATGAGGCTAGAAAATGGATATCTAGTCTTTTATGTCATTATGCCCCTGGTCCATTTGATGCTGTGTATGATGCGACATCAAGACCATTACCTGTTGTTCTTGACAATATATTTGAGTTGGCATTAATTCGACTGGTACACACGGGTTTGGTGCGGCGTTTATTACAGACAATAGTAGATGGGTCTGTCACTACTACTACTACTACTACTACTATTGTGGATTCATCTCATGGTGATAGTAGCAACCATAATAATAATAATAATAATAATAATAATAATAATAATAATAACAATAAAGAGAAGAATCAGAGTGAAAATCAAAAGAGGGTTGAAGATGATGAGAATGTAGTATTCTCTGCAACCCCGTTTGGTGTTTGTTCTGTACGTTCGTGTTTTAGCATTGAAGAGGCTTTACTTGTTCGGGATGAGTTGGAACAATTACAACGTACAGGACTTATACTTGCGGATGATCTTCATTTATGCTACTTCTTAACACCACTACGGGAGATTGGGGACTGTAATTGGGAGGTGTACCGTGATATTCTCTCTCGTTTAAATGAAAACCGCCAACGGATTGCAAACATGGTGGGTGTGGATGAATATCTTGTATACCAGCGGGCAATGGGATTAGGTGATTCTACCGGCAGTAGTATGAACACCAATAATAATAGTAATAGTAATAATAGTAATAGTAATAATAATAATAATAATAATAATAATAATAATAATAATAATAATAGCAATAGCAGTCAGATGTTCTCCACACGTCGTTTCTTCGTGGCGTTGATGCTTGCCGATCTCCTTGGCGAAGTCCCCTTGTCGGTGGTGGAGCAGCGCTATCAGTGCAATCGCGGGCAGCTGCAGGGACTAATGCGGAGTGCGTCGATGTTCAGCAGTTCCATCACGGCCTTCTGCCGGGCGATGGAGTGGTTTGCGCTCGAGGCGGTGCTGGCGGCGTGTGTGAAGCGGCTGGGGTTTGGCGTGAAGCCCGACATTGTGCCGCTGATGGAACTGCGCGGGCTGCAGCCGGGCCGGGCGCGGGCACTGTGGGCCGCCGGCTTCCGCGACCCCGCCGCCATCGCCGCCTGTGGGCCAGAAGAGGTCCTGCGCCGCGTGCGGGCAACCGCCAATAATAACAGTAATAATAGTAATAATAATAATAATAGTGGTGGGAATAGGGCTGCGAAGTATTTTACACTGCGAGCCGCTGTGGCACTTGTACGGGAGGCGAATTTGTTTCTGCAGCGACAAATACGGGAGAAGAAGGGAGAGCTGATGGAACTGACACTACACTCACGTCTGCCATGAGATATATATATATATATATATCTATATCTATGTGTATGTGTGTGTGTGTGTTTCTCTGAGAGACTGAGAAAATCTTTTCTTAATAGTATTTTGTTTGTTTATTTTTCCCCATGTTAACCTCAGTTCTGGGCGGCCACTTCTCTCACTCTCTCTCTCTCTCTCACATTCTGTGTGTGTGTAGTCCACGCACTTTCTTTTCTTTTTTTAGGGGTGGGGTAAAGTTATTCTGTTTTTTTTTTTTTTTTTTTTTTTTTTAGGGGTGGGGTAAAGTTATTCTGTTTTTTTTTTTTTTTTATTGTTGCTGATCTCACTTGAACTGATTATTATTGTTCGTGTTAGACTCACTTGAACTTTTTTCTTTTTCTCTCTGTGTATGTCTACCATTACATTTCCATGTTTTCGAATCGTCCATCTCCGTATCTGCTTTCCTCTTCTTATTTTTCGTTCCTATTTAAATTATACAAAATATATATATATATATATATATATTACACTATCATATTATCCCTTTTTCCTATCATTTTACTAAAGTGTGGAAAAGTCAGTACAGGAGTAGACTTTATTTTTTTTATTTGTAGAAGAGAACACACACAAAGAAAAAGGCGTATGTTCGCAGCGGCTCTAGTGCTTTATCTATGTGGCATTTGCCTAGCTGCTCTGCTTGTGCATTTCTTATCTATGCAACGATGGAGAATTCACGTCACTGTGGCTATCGCTGTATTTCCACTCGCCGCACTTGTAGCCCAGGGATTAGCAATGTGTGCACAGGGGATTGTGGAGTATATACATGGATTCGCTGCTAGTGCCGCAAAGAATGGGACTCTACCATCTCCGTTAATTGCGGCATTACTGCGAGTGCGGCAGATTGATGGAAAATCTCTGACGATGCTTGATATTCAACTGGTGGCGATTCTGTTGTTTCTCTGTTATGCATCTATGTTGCTGCTGCGGCATCTGGTGGATATTTCACGTTTGTTGAAGATATCACGTAAACGTCTTTTCATAAAGTAGCATATATATATATATATATATATATATATATATATAGAAAAAGGCAACAAGGGTTGTCTACTTTTCACTTCACGAGACGTTTCCTCTTCTTTGTGTTTGTATGTGTTTGTGTTTGTGCTTGTGTGTGTTTGTTTGTTTGTTTCTTTGTTTGATACTTTGTGTCTACTTGGTAGTGAATTACATTTAAGTTTATTTTGTTTTGCATTTCATTCGTTGAAATATTATTTACTTCTTCTTACTTCTATTCATTTTTTTTTATTATTACTGTTATTATTATTATTATGATGATTCTTTTCATTTATTCTAACGTATTCTTCTTCTTCTACTTGTCTCTCTTTTTCTTTCCCACCTTTAATCTTTACAACTTCCTACAGAGAAAGAGGAGAGAAGGGGCTGTTTACAAACAGTACAGATGAGTGAAAAAGAAGTTCAACTCTTTGGCGGTGCCATCACATGTGTAGTTCCCACCACTGCGGTGGATGTGAGTGACTTTAGACAAGTCCCAGACACACAGGAAGTATACGTAGAGGCCGAAACGGGTGTAAGTATTATTGTGGAACTGTTATCACGGGAACGTACAGTAAGTGATGAGAACTGCGGTGCGTACTTCTACACAGATCTCGCACGTGCGAATGACTGCAGTGAAGGCGATTACACTATCTCTATACAACAACAACTCTCTCCATCCGACTACCCGAACGTGGCACCGCGGCTTGAGGGAACAGATGTGAATAATAATAATAATAATAATAATAATAATAATAATAATAATAATAATAATAATGGACAGCAGTGTGTGTATGGCTGCTGTGTTAGTGGAATACAACGCATCTCAAAGTACACCAATGAAAAGGGAAAAGAGAATGAAGTGCTTGTGATGCTTGCCGTTCTGCGTTTTCTTCCGCCTGTGTCAACAGACATTCTTCTATCTATCTCTGCACCGCAGCGCATTCACCCGGAAAGTAGTGAGGCCCGTGTGGTCTCAAGGCTGCGCAGTGAGGCAGAAGTGCAGGAGATCATGCGGCGTATGTTGCTTACATTTACAGTGAAGGACTGGGGACTTTTTGTACCAGAAGAATAAATTGTGGAAATAGAAGAGAAGTGAGATCTATTCTGTTTTTTCTCTCTTTCTTTCTCTCTCTTCGTGGGTGATGTTTTAAGCATACGGCAACGATCTGTATGTGTATTTCTATGTGATACGGTATGAATTATTGATGGTGGTTCTGTTGTTATTCTTATGCTTATGCTTATGCTTGTTCGATATTATTTTGAGTTCGAGTTTGGCTTTCTTTCTCTTTCCCTTTCTGTGTGTATGTGTGTGTGTTTATATGTATTCTTCACATGCGGCAACGTTCCTTTCATTTTTGCCCCCCTTTTTTTTTTATTCTATCTTCTGTTCTCTCTTTATCGTGTGAAGATCTGCATAGCGAAAGCACGTTATTACCCCCCAAAGCCCAAGAAAAAGAAATAGAAAAAAACCCGTTTCACTACGTGTTAAACAAATAAACAAGAAAAACAAACAAACAAACTAAACCAATACCGTAATAGGAAAGAGAGAATCTACACACCTGCAAATGCTGCGAAAGATTGCCAATCCATATAAGGTGTCTATTCGCCGCACCACCGCCACCGCACCGGAGACGGGCTCCAAAGCCATTCTCCGCCTTATCCGCTATGATCCCGTCACCAACAAACAACGTGTGGAGAGTTATGAATATGATAAACATCATGATTACATGGTGCTTGATCTCATCACCGCAGTGAAGGCCCATCAGGATCCAACACTCGCCTTCCGCGCCTCCTGCTGCGAGGGTGTCTGTGGAAGTTGTGCGATGAATATTAATGGGATTAACAGTCTGGCCTGCATTACCTTCTCGCAGCACGTCACCACAGTTGGGCCGCTGCCGAACTTTCCGGTGATTAAAGACTTCGTTGTGGATCTCCGCCACTTCTTCCGTCAATACGCGTACATTCGCCCGTTTGTGCGGAACACCAATCTCGATCGCAGCCGCGTGGAGAACATCATGGAGCGCTACAACAGCGTGAGCAAAGCCATTCACGGTGTTAGTCCACATGAAGAGGCCACTCGCACGCCGTTAGCCCCACACGCCGGTGTGCAAACGGAAGTTATTGCCATTTTGCGGCTCATTGATGCCCTGCGAGAGGCGGGAAGTGTCACTCATGTTGTGCACGCCCTCACCGCATTGGAGAAGCGGGGGATTCAACTCGACCAGGAGAAGGTGCGCAAGCTTCTCGATGAGACACTGCAGAACTACACTAAGCGGAAGAGTACAGTCTAAGGAAGTAGAAGAAGAAAAGTAAAATAGAATGTTGAAAACGAAAAGGAAAAAAGAAAAAAAAGGAAAAAAAAAAATAAAAAAAAAAGGCAACGACAAGCAAAGAGGAAGACAAATAAAGAAAAGAGAGTAAACCGCAAAAAAATAAAAAAAAGGAGCAGGATAAAGTATATGAGAAGGAAGAAAAAGAATAATTAGGAAACATGTGGATTACGTGTATGGACGATGATGGAAGGAGTGTGGATGTATTCATGGCGGGGGAGTTGAGTGGGGAAAGATGGAGAGAAGAGGTGTATCGCATTTTGTGTGTTTATATGTAAAAGGTGGTGTTAGTGACAGTTTTTTTTTTTTTTTTTTCTTTTTCTTCTTCTTTTCACATACTTCCTCTGGTCATCACTACACTATTACCAATGCGTAAGGAAAGAAGGGTTTCCTCTATTTTTCTTTCCCCCCTTTTTTCTTTCTTATTTCCCTCTTTTACGGATGATTTCAAGTGGGATGTACCACTGTAGTTTTTGCTGCTCTCTGCTTGAAAAAAGGAGAAGGGGAGAGAGAGAGAGAGATCTCAATAGCAAAAAAAAAAAAAACAAGAAAGAAAAATGAGTGAAATAAAATAAAGAGGGGTGGGGTGAGGGGTAAAGAACAGAGGGACGACTTTGTGTACTATTTACTTAAGCTTTGGTTATTTGCAATGTGAATGATGATTGACTGCGTCTGTTTATTATTTGTAACAGGTATAGAGGGAAAAAGGGGAAAAAATGAACTCTCCGTGTTCGTGTGAGTAACGTCTCTGTGTTCATGGAGAGAGAAGAAGAAAAAAAAAATAAGAAGAAAGAAAAAAAAAAAAAAAAAATTAAACTTTTTTATTAAAATAAAATAAAAATCCATTTTTTCTCTTGGGGTGGATTGAGGACGTACGGAGAAAGAGGAGAGAGTGAGAGAGAAAGCGGAAAGAGGTTCTGAAATAGTACTTAAAAAAAAAAGAGACTTATGGGAACTTTATTATTATTATTATTATTATTATTATTATATTCCTATTATCTATTTTCCCCAGTTTATTGCTCTTTAATAGTTCTTTGCATGGGGAGGAGGAGGAGGATAGTGGTGGTTGGAATACATTCGGCTGGATATTATTATTATTATTGTTCTTATTGTCGATTCTTTGCGTTTGTTTGCTTTTAGTTGTATGCGTTGCTCATTGGTGTTCGAACTCAGCAGAGCGCACAAAGATGTGTTTATCCCCTCGTTCCCTCACTCTATATCTGTGGGAACTGTTGAAGTGATGTCTATATGTACATCCCCCCTTTTTTTCCCTTTATTACGACAATATTGCCTTTACCTTATTTTCTTTTCTCTTTCTTATTCAATTTAACCATATTGTTTTTTTTTTTTTAAATAATAAATCTATTTATATAAATAAGGTCTTAAGTTCACTGCAAAATACAGGTATCGCACACACATATATATATATATACAAACATACCCAAACATACCAAGAGAAATATATAGGAAATATAGGAAATAGTGAAGTACACATCTCCATACATTTACACATATACACCAAAAATCCATAAATACACCCGTGCATATCTAAAATGAATCCCATTACATCATTATTCACACGACGCAGTTTGAATCGATGGCGAATTGTGGAACTTGTCCTTACCGGCCTTACTGCAGTAGCGGCATCGCTGCTCATTGTGTTTGTTCCCGCCGCCCGTGTTTATTGCGGTATGGCGTTAACACTATCCGTCATTATCGTTCTTCGGCTTTGGCGACTGTTGCCAAGTGACCGGCGGCGTGTTTGGCGGGAATCACACAAATTGGCTGATAAGATGCTGAGAGAGCGACAAGGAACAACAATAGCCGCAACTACACCGGCTGCAGATGTGGAGATGCGGCCGTTGGTGGCTCAATCTATGCAGCCAGCAGCCACTATGCAGTTCTCTGCGATATCACCATCGCAGCAGATATTGATGGGCTCTATGCTTTCACCACAGCAACAACAAGCCATGATTGCGGCTTCTGTGCTCTCACAATTACAACAACAACAACAACAATCAATATTGGCTGCTTCTATGATACCACAATTACAACAGGCAATGATGGCTGCTTCCATAATGCCACAGTATCAACAACAACAACAACAATTACAATCAATGATGGCTGCTTCTATGATGCCGCAATATCAACAGCAACAACAACAGCCAATGATGGCTGCTTCTATGATGCCACCGTATCAACAACAGCAACAACAACAATTACAATCAATGATGGCTGCTTCTATGATGCCGCAGTATCAACAGCAACAACAACAGCCAATGATGGCTGCTTCTATGATGCCGCAGTATCAACAGCAACAACAACAGCCAATGATGGCTCCCATGTCTTCACAATCACAACGTAATTACATTGGATCACATGTCTCTCAAATGGTGGCTCCAGATGTTGGGGGAGAAGGCAATGTGCTTCCGAAACCCTTCGTTAATGTCAAACCTACGATGCAGTTTGGTTGAGGTATTTCTTACTGTATCGTCATATTTTTTGGTCTCTTTTTTTCAGTTTTTCTTCTTTTTTTTATTATTATTCTTACGTATTTTTTTTTTTTTTTTAATATTTGTATTTCTCTTTGCTTCCTTTTGGAGAAGTATTGCCAAAATGGACGAGCACAGAGTATCAATGAGTACGTAACAGATATTGTTTTTTTTTTTTTTTTTCTTTTTTGACCCGTTAGTACCCCATTCCAGGGTTTATTGAGGGTATTTTTTTTTCCTTTTCTTCCTTCTTTTAGGTGTTCAATTCATTTCCTATTTACATGTTTTTTATTTTATTTTTTGGATCGTATACGCTTCGGGAGGGCGTCCTTCTCTTAACCGGGATTCTTATTCTATTATTAAAGAGGAATTGCTCTCGTTTCGTTTCGTTTCGTTTCGTTTCGTTTCTTTTTTTTTTTGCTTCTTTTCGTTTGTTTACTTCACATTCCATCCTCTTCTATGAATAAAATTAATCCTATTATGGTTAAGCAGATATAGGATGATGATGATTAAACTCTAATGTCAGGGATTGGTAGTGAAAAGGTTAGTAAATTTTTTTTTTCTTTTTTTCTGTATTATCCACATATACGTGGAAACATGCATATGTGAAATGATATGAACTGTTTCATTTTAATTGTTGTTCTTGTATTTTCGTTTCTTTTTTTTTTTTTTTTCAGATTGTTGTCACCTAGTCTCTGTCTGACTCTCTCTTTCTTTCTCTTTCTCTCTCTCTCTCATTATTATTATTACTGTTTACCATTTCATTTAGGTATAAAAAAAAAAAAGGAAAAAAAAAAGAGGTCAATATACATTTATCTGTCTATCTATCTAATTTATTTATTTATTTATTGATGTGTTGTGGACAACAACATAATCCACACCGACCAGTTGATATCTGTGGTTGGTGTGCCTTCTTCTGCCGACAAATCCCTCCCTGCTTTGCGGTACTTCTCATTCTTCTCAATGTGATTCCCTATTATGTGGCCTTTCTCCCCAGACTCCACCGTTCCTATCAGCACGGCGATGTTTCCTTCTTTTATTATCTCTACTGCCATCTGGGAATGGCCATCACAGAGACACTTGTGTTTGTGAACTTCTTTCTCGCCGTCTCCACACCGCCGGGATATGTGGAGCGGGAGCCGTGGTCGCACACACCGGTGTTCAGAGGCCGCCCGGGAAGTGAATTCAACACACATGAAGTGCGGCAAGTGGGATTAGACGGAAAACTGCGGTTTTGTTTTCGTTGCGAGATTTACAAACCCGATAATGCCCATCACTGTCGTTCCTGTCGGAGATGTGTATATCGGATGGATCACCATTGTCCGTGGATTAACAATTGTGTTGGGCGGGATAATTTAAAATACTTTTTGCTTTTTCTTGCATACATTCCATTAGGGGGATTTCACATTGCTACCACTACGATATATAGTTTATGTTATCATTTTCCTTTCTTTAGTTCGGCAGATTTGGGAGATGGTGTATTGTTAGTGGGATCCGCTGTCTTGTCAGCAGTGATGGGATTCTCATTTCTTCTCTTCGCTGCACACTTTGTATATTTAGCAGTTCGTGGTGAAACTACCGTAGCTAATGTGATATCGTATAGGAGAAGTGATCAACAACGGCATCAACAGTTAATTAAAGAAGAAAGAGAGAAATTTTTGGATGAAGTGTTTGGTTTAGACCGGCGTTGGTGGCGCTTAATATGTCCAGTGTCTACTCGTCGTCCTCCAGAAAACATGGCGATTGTTTAGTGTGGATGATATCTGTATATATATATATATATGGGATTAGTTGTGTTATTGGTGTAGTGCTTAATATTTGAATGGATGAGCCTTAGAAATGGGATGTTTGAGTGTTTTTTGCTTCTCTGTGCTTTATTATTATTATTATTATTATTGTTATTATTATTTGGGGGGTTTTGTCTTCTTTATGATAGGTGAAACGCTTCTCTTATTCATATGTGCGTTCTCGCTTAAGCGGAAACTGAGCAATGTCTGATTTCTTTTTGTTATTATTATTATTTTATTATCTCTCTTTCTCTACCTCTCTCTATCTCTCTTTATGTGTGTTTATGTATATGTATGTGATTAAATTGTTTCCTTTTCCTTTTCTCTGCAGATCAATAACTCTTCTTATGATCCCTTCTGGTTCTGAATCCTGTACTGGGACTCTTACACCAGAAGAGAGAATGAAAAGAGAGGTGGGAAAAAAACACACACACACACACACACACACACACACCCAATATGCAGGAGAAAAAAAAAGTTTTATTTTAACTGCATATATACATAAGTAGATATACATGTATCTATGGGTATATATATATATATATTATTTATTTATTTATTTATTTATTTATTTATTTATTTATTTATTATATGTATTCTTTTCTTTTCTTTTTTTTTCTCTCTCTCTCTATCTCTATGTATTATTTTTTTTTTTTTTCTGAAAATGAAAAGGGCAGAATTGTAAGCTAGAGTACAGAGACGATTGGTACACTACAGTGTGTGGGTTACCTGAATCGTATCACTCTCATCATCATCGTTAGCACGACGACTATATATTCTATTGACAAGTACACTACATCTAAGAAAGGAGAATCTTACAAAGTAGAAAAAAAAATAAAAAAAATAGAGTAAACACACACTTCCACGTGTATATATATAAAGAAAAAAATGGAAGATTATTGTAGTATGCCGAATAGGCATAGTTTTACCCCACGGAGCTGTTGGGATTGGTGTTGTCTGTGCTCTGCATATTTAGTTCCGCTATTTTTATTATTACTCATTCTGGGATTAGCGGTTACTTTTAATGTTTATTTTATTCTCTTATGTGTCTGGTATCATAACGATTGGCGTATTGCTGTCTCTCTTATTTGTCTTATCATTGGTGATGCCTGTGCAGCCGTATTACTGTGGGCTTTCTATGCTGTTGTGAATACATCTGCAGGATATGTATTGGATGAATCGTGGCGATATCCCCCAATTTATATTGGTGATTCCACAGTATATCAACCTCCTAGGAGTGAAAATAATGATAATAATAATAATACTACGACTAGCATGAATGGAAATGAAAACAGTGTTCATTCGCCTCCTATGAGTATGGATGTGGATAATAATAATAATAATAATAATAATAATAATAATAATCATATTAATAATAGTATTAATGATGGGACTTCTTGTAGTGTTAATATTGAAGGAGGAAATCCAAACACTGTTAGAATGTTAGATCGTAATAACAAATTACGTTATTGCGAGATCTGTCGTCAATATAAACCAGACCGGGCATATCACTGCGAGGTATGTGAACGCTGCACCTACAACTTTGATCATCACTGTCCAGTAATGAACAATTGCATTGGACGTGATAACTATAAAATGTTTCTTCTCTTCCTCCTCTATGTTCCTTTAGCCGGATTTGTCGATGGTGGTCTTGAGTTGTTGGCTGTATTCGTTATTGAAAAGGGAGATGTCTCGATGGCGTGGATGATGGTCGGCATCGTCACTTGTATGATGGGCCTCTCCACACTTTTCTTCGGCCTCGCGCATCTCTGGTGGCTCTGCCACGGCCAGTCCACCATGTCGAGGCACATCGCCGCCCGGGTGCGGGTGCGCAGAGTGAATGGGAACCGAACAGTCATGAGAGACGAGCGGCAGAGTGAAGAGGAGCGGCGGGAGGAAGTGCGTCGACATTGGGACGCCGTTCTCGGCACAGACAGACGCTGGTGGCGGGTGATCCTGCCATTCCCCCCAACACGCGATGGGTGTGAGGAGTGAAGAGAGAAAATGAAAGAAAGAAAAATAGTGAAGTTCAATGGATATGTGGTATCAACAAGGAAGAAGAAGAAGAAAAGAAAAAAATAAAAAAAAAAAGGGAGGGAGGGGGTGTCTGACAAATCCAATGCGGCAATTTTTTTTTTTTTTTTTTTTTTTTTTTTAATGATTTTCTTATGTTTGATCGTTATTTCTTTATTTTTATCTATTTCTCTATTTCTCTCACTCTTT